ACGAAATTTATTGTTGGGGGTAAATTGTAACACCCCATACCCATGGGCCTAATTTTATTAATTTATCTTTGATCCATTTAGAAAATAGAGGATGTCTTCCTTGAAGACCTACCTGACCAGATACCTCCTTTATGGGACATCCAACATGATATAGATTTGGTCCCGGGAGCGTCGCTTCCAAATTTGCCTCATTATAGGATGAATCCTACTGAGTACACTGACTTCAGAGGCAAGTGGATGAACTCATTCATAAAGGATTCATCCTTGAGATTTTAAGTCCTTGTGCAGTTCCTGCGATATTGACGCCTAAGAAATAACTCTTGCAATGTATTGGGAATGTAGAGTATTAGTTGGCTTTACTTCCAAAACCTTCAACTGTGTATGACATCTTTCATATGTCAATACTTAGAAAGTACGTCCCTGATTTGAGTCAAGTGGTCAACCATCGGTCCATTGAGTTATTCCAAGGTTTGACCTACGAAAAAAGTGTCAATTATGATTATTAATCAGAAATTTCAAGCACCCATAAACAAAGTAATCTACTTGGTGAAAGTGCAATTGCGCAATCACCTAATGAGATGCAACTTGGGAAAGAGAAGTATAGATGAGAGCTAAATATATTTCACGTGAATTTCAGGACGAAATTTATTGTTGGGGGTAAATTGTAACACCCCATACCCATGGGCCTAATTTTATTAACTTATCTTTGATCCATTTAGAAAATAGAGGATGTCTTCCCTGAAGACCTACCTGACCAGATACCTCCTTTATGGGACATCCAACATGATATAGATTTGGTCCCGGGAGCGTCGCTTCCAAATTTGCCTCATTATAGGATGAATCCTACTGAGCACACTGAACTTCAGAGGCAAGTGGATGAACTCCTTCATAAAGGATTCATCNGATTCATCCATGAGAGTTTAAGTCCTTGTGCCGTGCCGGCGCTGTTGACCCCTAAGAATTATGGCTCTTGGAGGATGTGCGTAGATAGTCGTGCCAATAATAGAATCACTGTGAAATATCTTTTTGCCATTCCTAGGCTTGACGATATGTTAGATATGATGGTTGGTGCTACAATCTTTTCTAAAATCGATTTGAAGATTGGGTATCACCAGTATGATCTGCCTCGGTAACGAGTGGAAAATCGCCTTTAAAACGAAAGATTGGGCTGATTATGCCTTTTGGACTAACCAACGCCCCCAAGTACTTTTGTGCGAGCAATGACACAGACTCTTCGACCCTTTATGGGTAAGTTCCTCATCGTCTACTTTGATGACATTCTCATCTATAGTAAAACTAAGGAACAACACTGGGATCATCTCAAACAGGTTTGTTTTGCCCTTCGTGCAACAAAATTGTATGCTAATGTTAAGAAGTGTTCTCTCTTCACCAATAGAGTTGTCTTCCTTGGATTTATTGTATCCTCTATGAAGGTATTTATTGACTTTGCTAAGATTCAGGCAATTGTTGATTGGGCCAAAGACTATACATGATGTCGGAGTTTTCATGGCCTAGCTATCTTTTACTATCGCTTCATCAAGGGGTTTAGCATAAGTATGACTCCTATTACGAAGTTCATGAAGAAATGAGAGTTTCAGTGGACACAAGAAGCGACTAAAACTTTTAAACTAGTCAAGAAGCGAATGACAGAAGCTCCTGTCATGCACCTTCCCGGCTTTGCCAAAGTTTTTGAGGTAGATATTCCCGATGCAAGAGGAAAACGAAAGGGAAAAACATGCAAAATGTTAGGATCATTTTAAATTGATTACAGGTCGTGTGATCGATGGAGTTACAGAATCTAAAGTAGTATCTAAATACTGTCAACAACAATTGGCATGGCAATAAGGTATTAGAACCACCCACCTCATCTGTCACTACAAAGCATATGTGGCCAAACATGGGCTTCTTCCTGTTGGTCAAACGTAATTGCAGTTTGGTAGTCCAGGCACCTGTTCTACTACTAAGCCACTTTCTACATGGATGTATTCGGAGGAGAAAGCTCGAACAAGAATGGTGAAGTTCGTTGTCGCTGATGAGTTGTCTCTAGAAATAGCGGACAACCAACATTTTGTCTCATACGTGAAAGAATATCTTCAACCAAGATACGTTGGGGTAAGTCGAAACGCTATTTGTTCAGATACAATAGAATATTTCATTCATACAAAGAAACTATTGATTGCTGATTTAGAAAAATATGATAGTGTTGAATCTTTAAGTTCGGATATATGGAAATGAATTAATAAAAGATGTTATATAACTACAACTGCACACTACATTAATCCACTTTTGTGTATATATAAAAAAATTATTAAGCGCAAAATTATTAAGTTCACTCACAACGCTAACAACATATATAACACTATTATGAACATTATTAGAGAATATCGTTACGAGAGTAAAATTCATTCATTTACATTCAACAACGCTAGTGTTAATAATGTAGTTATCGATAAATTGTGCAGAGTACTATAACCCGATTTTGGTGGTTATTTGTTTCATATTCGATGTGTGTGCCATATTTTTAATTTAATTGTACAAGACGGTTTAAAACATGTGAAGGACGAAATTAGTCGAATTAGGAATGCATTTATATATATCACGATTACACCTTATTTGTTTCATATTCGATGTGTGCGCCGTAATTTTAATTTAATAGCGCAGGACAATTTGAAACATATTAAAAATGAAATTCAAAGAATTACGGATACACTAATGTATATCACGATTTCACCTAATAGAAAATAAGCATTTGAGGAATTTTGTGCCGAATCTGGGGTGACGAATATGAAAACATTTATTAGTAACATATGACACAGATGGAACTTCACTTACTTATTATTAAAATCATGCGAAGGATTTGAACATTTAATAACTGAATTTTATAACAATAGACATATTAAAAATGATGATGATACTATTTTGAATGAATCCGATTGGATTTTAGCTTCTAAAATTAAAAAAAACTTTTGACAAGGTTTTATGATTCTACAAATATTTTGTCTGGAATTTACTATCCCCACTAGTTATATGGTACTTGAACGTCTTTATATAATTGTTAGGGCTTTTCATAGATATAAAAATGACCCCAATTTTAATGCAATTATATATTTCATGGAATTAAAGTTTAGAAAATATTAGGAAAACTTGTCTATATTATTTCCGTTAACATGCATCATAGACTCCCCGATATAATTTATCGGGTACTAAATTTGAAATTGATCAGATTTCAAGAACTTTAACTTTTAATAAACCTATCACTTATAAAAATTTAGAACAAACTTTATGTGAAATGTATGAATTATATGTAGTACAAATGGGTGCAAATATTAATCGGGTACCCTCTGCACATACTCTTCCCACTGATATACTGAAGACAACGCTGAAATATTAACTTTATTCGAAAGCATTAATTCATATAGACATGATGCAGGTGGTTCCTCTAGTAGTAGTTTGTCTACTGCATGTAATCAAATATCGAACGCAAGTCCAAATATTTCGCCTACTAAATTAATTGATTACTTTAATCATAATATGCCTAATAATAAAACAATTAAGAAAAGTTTGGAAGAAGTAATTAAATTCTGGCGAAAGTACGAACGACGATGACCAGTGATTTTTGTGATGGCAAAAGACTTACTAACACCTCCGGTTAGCACTATAGTTTCGGAGTCTGCTTTTAGTGCAGGTAAGAGGGGTCTGTCCGAGGTCAGGAGCCAACTAAAAGAAGATATTTTGAAAACATTAATGTGCGTGAAGGACTAGCAAAACGATCATTTTTTACTGCAAGATAAATATGTCGAAATTGCATGTCGTCAACTAAGTGATATTTAATTTAATCATATTAATCAAAATTTGTTATTTTATAATACTTTTTTATTTTTTAAAAAAATTGTACATGTAACAAGTTCGTGTACAATATTTAATTCTACCTACTCAAAATTGAAGTAGTCAGTCCTAAACTTGGATAAATGAGCAGGGTTTTTTTTTTTTTTTTTTAAGGTTTATCTTAAGAAAAATAATAATTGGAAAATGGACGAGCTTGCGAGCCGAAGCTTGGCTCGGCCCATGAGTAACGAGCCACGAGCTCAGCTCAGCCCGGTCCATTGCCACCTCTAACAAAACACTGTCATCCAAGTTGTGCAAATAGATTGATCCAAAGGAAACAATCATGCTGGTGTACAATCATGGGTTATAATTTGGTTGACTACATGACGCGTGACATTCACTCATTAGACAGTTTCCACATAAAAATATTTTTGCAGCAACTAATTTTTTGACAACTCACAACATAGTCATCCAAGTTGCACAAATAGATTAATCCAATGGAAACAATCTGCTTCGTGTACAATCATGGATTATAATTCGTCTGACAATATGCCACGTGACATTTACTCATAGTTTCCATATCTTCTTTTTGATGCTTGGTGTACAATTTGGTTGACAACATACCACGTGCCATTCATTCATTGGGCAATTTCCTCATACTTATTTTTGATCTTGGTGTACAATCATGGTTTACAATTTAATTGACAACATGCCATGTGTCATTCTTTCATTGGACAATTTTCACATCAACTTACAACGTAAAACAATTTCTTGTATTATATTTCATTCTTCCTCATTTATAAGTAGTCAAAAATACATACAGAAATGGACTTAGAATTCAATCATCCATGGTGGGTTTTATATGTATTTCTCTCGAGACAATCAATCAAACCAATCTCAACGAGAGCCGGTGGCAACAAGATGCCTTGCAAGAGAGAGAGAGAGAGAGAGAGAGAGAGAGAGAGATAGAGGGCGTCTAGTAGTCTTTCAGCAAATTAATTCTTCAACACAAGTTCACAGCTCTCACTACAAAGTGTTCATAATATCTTGTTCTCACGCCCACAATGGAGAATAATCCTATCAAGTATTCGTCCTCAGCAGTAAAGGAAACTGGTTTTGAAGGAATAGTTTTACAAATACTTGGATCTCATAAAAATTACAGGAATAGCATGACACTATTGTCCGAGGTTCCCCAAAAGTCGTTCCACTGCTGCATGAACATTTCCAGAAGTCGCACGCAGTGCTCTGATATTCTCTTGGGTGTCAAAGAACCCCATCTCTTGAAGCTGTGATAGTTGAGTTGCATAAAGTTCTTCTGGGGGCACTAAAACACAAACATAATAGGATTAAGAGTTTCAGTAACCAACCATAATAGAAAAAATAGTATAAATTAAATACGGAGGAAGGATAATTTCTACCATTAGGATTGCTTGGGACGGACAAACCACCTGCTCCAAGTCCACCAAACATATTCATCAGCATTTCCAGCCCCATGTTATTTTGGGTTCCTGCTATTGGGAATGTTGATAAAACAGTTGCATTGACATAAGAAACAATTATTCATCTGTGTATAGTTATTCATATCCAATTTTGTTGCTACATACCTGTACCCTGATTTGCCGGAGTTCTTTCTCTGAAACAGAAAAATTAAGCGGAAAGGTTTATTAGAATGCATACAAGGTCCCAGCTCGATTACAACAGGAAAAATGAAATTTCTTATCAAGTGTCAGAAAGCAATAGTAGTATCCAAGTCAGATTAATTTATGATGAAAGGAATTTAGAAATGAAGTCACAAGTATATAGGATCTTTTTGTTTTTTGACAAATCAATTTTCATTACAGAAGTGGCAAAAGGCTGGTTTAAAAGCCAATGGGCCAAATAACGACAGACCCAATGCTGTAATCCAGTCCATATAACACTAGAAAACCTCAACACAAGAAGAGACAACTTCTCCATTCTAAACATATGTACTGTGACTGAGTATATATATATAGGCATCAGATTTCCAGATAAGCCAACTATCAACTATTCCAACAGCATGATCCTCATTAACTACGATACCAAAAACTGAAGATAATTAGGTTGTGAATAGAAAATGTGTCTGCTGGTGAAACATAAAAAGATGCTTTATTACCAATACAGGACCTTCACAGAAGCAGCATCAATCAACAAACTGTATTTGTACTTCGGGGAGCGGGGGGAGGTGGAAGAATTCATTTCTAGTAGTATGGTCATGAAATTTCATCCTATGAATTTATTAAGCGCAGGTGATTGACTCCACATATTTGTTTTCACAAATGCTGATGAAAGCATTTATCATTGTAAAATATACATAAGCACGTCTGGAACTTCGACATATGGGAAATTGACATCACCAATGCAAATAAGAGAAATCAAAAGGCCTCTAAAACTGACAAGGCAAACAATATCCAAAAACAGGCTCTACCAACCAAACACATAATCCATTTTCGGCAACTGACGTCCTTCAAACAACTAGGCCTATGTTTTTCATAATTAGCCTCAAGCCTCACTAAAGAAGGAGGTTTGCAGTAAGTTGACAACCACATAAACTTTGTCAAATCTTAAAACATGGATATTTATTGGGAACTTGGTATATTGTTATTGAAGTCCTTGAAGCAGAAAGCTCAGTTATGAAATATAGAAATTAGACTCCAACACATCATCAGACAGCTATTGCCAATACTTACACTAACTTTCATCGGGGGTGGACTGGGGGAAAAGACGAGGCAAACTTTAGTACAGGTGATGTTGGAGGCAAAGCAAGAAACTTCCACAATATTTCATTATCTATTGCTAAGAAAGGGTGGAAAAAAAGATAAGCCACTTGAAATATAAAGGCACCATTTAAATCTTGTGATCCATTCAAGTGACTCCTTATATACTGAATCCTTATATACTGAACCGCGTATTTGATAATCTATTTAGTAACTAACTATTGTTAAATATAAAAAACCTATCTAAAATAACAGGTAAGCGAGAAGCAATTATTTCTCACTCACGGTGTTGATTGCTGCTGACCAAGCTGAGACAGTTGCTGCTGCAGAGCCATCATTTGCTGAAATAATAAAATTGACAAGGTGCTAAGAGAAAGGCAGTGTGGTAAATGATCTTCAACGAAGTATTGTCTAGCTACTTATCAAAGAAGTATCTAGCTAAGAATGAAAGGCACAGAATCTGATCTATTAGACTAATCAATCTATTAACTGGAAAATGGGACAAACTGTCCAACAAGGCAGAGAAAGGGGGAGGGAGAACTGTATACAGAAGTCTACCTGCATTGTCTCAGGTGAGGTCAATTGCCGAAGAATTTCAGGGTTTTGCATCATTTCTCTCAGTTGAGGGTTCATATCAAGCATGCTGCGTAGCTGAGGATTGAAGCCCAGGATCTGCAATTGAAGTTATTATTTAAGAATAATTTAAAGTAAGCTATAATACTCGATATAGTTCTATTAGTACTTGATCCATATATTGAGGGTTGGAAAACAAGCTTTGCATCATCTGGGTCATGGCTGGATTTTGCAAAAATTGACTGAAGGCAGAGGGATCCGACATGCCAGCCATACGCTCCAATTCAGGAAGCCCAAGCCCTCCTAAACCGGCCACACCAGGTGGCCTTGCATCACTGGCAGGATTAGCTCTTGTAGCATTATTTGTTTGAGAACCTCCTGAAATTTTAAATTTACGTAAGAGTTCCAGATAGATATTTTGTTACAGTTGTATGAAAAGGAAATAACCAAGGTACCAAAAACAAGAGAGACGATTAGCATGGCCTTGATTGACATTTAGCTTAAAAAAGAATGGAAACTTGTGTAATACTTGTCATTTTCAATGAGTTGTGTCTGTACAACAAAGAGTGAACATAGCAATAAGGAAAAGTTTGAATATGCAAATTCATCGATAAATTTATTGTGAGCGTCAATCAATCAATACAAGAACTAGCACAGACAGCTAAGAGATGAATGCTTCCAACTAGATCAGAACAATGTAGGATACTCGGTATGGATGAAATGTGAAATTAAAAGGAAGAGAACTGGAGAAAGTATAGGGGAAAGCTGAAATGAAGATTGCACTATTAAAATACAAAAAGGAACAATTTTACACATCTTTCCTCTCAATCTCTCTCGTCTTCCATTCCTCCACCACGTATTACAGGATAAAAAGAATAGTTTCTGAGGAAAACCTATCAATCCACCCTCCATCCATCTACTACGAGAAACAAATAACAATAGCCGACCCTCTTCCTGAACCAGACACGGCCTTCAATAACATTCTCCACATTTTATAAATATCTATAAGAACTAGTTATGCAAAATACTAACGGAAGAGTTATTATTAAGCAAAACAGATGATAACATTACTGTCTGCATACTTCAAAAGATCTAATCTTACCTCCAGCATTAGTCCATGGGTTGGGAAGTGGATTAGCATTTGGTGCGGAATCCCCAGAGGCCATTTCGGAGCCAGCAGTTGAAGGATTAGATCCATCTCTGGTTTGGGCACCAGTGCCTTGGTTACCCAATAGAGCAGCGAATGGGTTTGATGCCGTATCATTTGCCGTGCCTCCACCCATTGTCGTTGCATTCAAGAAGGGTTCTTGGACATTTTCATACATACGTCTAAGCATGTTAAATCCCTCGGGAGAAGATTCAATATTGCTCATTGCCCTGTCAGTGTTCCGCATCATCTCACGCATTAGCTCAGGGTTCCTAGCAGCTTCTAATGTTTGCCGAAGGATGCCAGGATCATTAAGAATATGACCAAGTTCAGGGTTCCGATCAATAATATCTCGCATTTGAGGATTATTCATTATTAAGCTGCGCATGATCTCAGGGTTGTTCATTATGCTTTGAATGGCTGGTGTGTTCATTATTTCTCTCATCATGTTAGGATTCTGGGTTAGTTGTTGTTGCATCTGTTCAAACTCAGGAAGTCCAGCTCCAAACAACCCAGATGCTCCAGTGCCACCAAGTGCATCCAAACCAAGCCCTGGAAACATTGAAGCCCCTAAACCAGTGCCCCCAGCACCCCCTACATCGGGACTAGCACCTTGTGTGGCGCCAGAATTATTGGCATTTTCAGCACTTGCAGCAGCACCAACTGAGGGTTGTGATGCAGCTGGAGCAGAACCACGCACCATATGAACCGTGTGATCTGCCTGCAAACCTTCATGAAATTAACAGAACAACAGTCAAAATTTAAAGTAACATCCTCAGGAGAAGGGAAGGGAAGGGGAGAGTTCCGGGTCCGGGAGGATAGTGAGTTATTACAGCGCATTGACAGCTACAGCAAGAATTTAAACGATTTCACTTCGAGAGTACAAAAACCTCTCCTAGCTTGATCAGGTGTCCAATACAGCATCTAGGTGACCATAAAAGCAAATAATCAAGCAACAAAAGAACTTGACCTGGATTTCGAGTGATTCTCTATTATAAGTCTACATCCAACAGCAATTAACTAACGAACAATAGGAGGCAAGTTTTCGTGATGTTATTAGTATTTAGTTTACTAATGCTGATGAACATCAGTCCTCAAATCAGGAATGCTAAATAGGTAATTAAGAAGAATCACATTCACCAAATATGAGGAATAGTACATAAATACTCATGATGACCTACTCAAATACAGAATGCAAAAATGATCTTATCAATCGTAAACTTCTAAAGGAATCAACCGGTCTGATTCAATCATTACCTAATTAGGTAAGGCTATTAAACACTAAAACTGAAATTCAAGAATGAGTAATACTTTATAGAATGCAGTCACTCAGAAGTAATATTTAGCCAATGAGGATTCGACTTGGAATCGACCAATAGACCGAAATCTCAATAGCCTTTTACGTATATTTCTGGCACCTACCAGTAAAACCATAAAGACCCTTCACCCCACGGCCGCCAACGTACATTGCTGGTTCCTTTATACCAGCAAAATTGTGAAGACTCTCCACCTCAGGGTCACAGAATAAATAACCCGATACAATTCATGCACATAGTACAAACCTGCCTCCAAAAGCAAGTGCTCAATTGTTCTTGGGCCAATGTCGTTAATGATGAAGAACAGTTCAATTGATCAAAGTTCTAATCAAGAATGGTTCAAGAGGCAGCATGCAAAACCAAAAAACTTAACAGAAGCACGAACATACCAACACGTGATTTTTCAAAAACTTGTAGGTCACGGACATGTAAGGGAGACAGTGATGCGAATTCTTTAAAATTGTACATATGTATGGTATATCTTTATTTTTTAATTTTCAATAAAATCAATACATTTATTAGTTAAGATTTTTGTTGGTAAAATCTCTTTAATTATAGTAAATATTTTGTCATATTAAAATATTTTTTAATTATTACTACCGCCATAGAAAGAAAAATGCATGAAGTAGAGGTACGAAATTTCGGTAAGAAGTTCATAGAACTTTTCTTGTATCGTTTGAACTTTTTTAGACGAATATTCGAATATTCTTGAACTTTAGAGTGTCTTGAGGAATGTTAATATGCATGACCCTGGTAGGAGTGTTTATACTTTGTAGACAGGTACAATTTCCTTTATCATGATTCAATTGAATTTCATTTGATCACAAAATGTAGAATCTCCAAGGCAATATACAATCAGCAACTGGAGTCTCTATCAAAATTGCCAATTAGCAGGGAGTGGTTACTGATGGTAATCTCTCTCTCTCTCTCTCAGGTACAATTTCCTTTATCATGATCTAATTGAACTTCATTTGATCACTAAATGTAGAATCTCCAAGGCAATAAACAATCAGCAATTAGAATCTCTATTCAATTTGTCAATTAGCACGGGGTGGCTACTTGTGTTAATTTCTATAATTCTATCTATCTCTCTATCCACACCCCCTCCTCCCCTCTCTATGGTAATTCTAATTCTTATATTAGTAAAAAAATTTAACTGTAAACGGAGATACTGTAGAAACAAAATGGAAGTAAAGTAAATTTCAGAGGTACAACCTCCAAAATGAGTCTTTTTAGGTATACAATTAAGTGCCATCAAATATTAACATACTTGATAAGAATTCTATAGTGTCACAAGAAACGGTCCTAGAGATCTCACAGTATAGATCATAATTAAATGATAATAACATAAAAACAAAGGATTAATGATATATCACACATTCAAAGTATTTATCTGAAGAATGTCCATTTCAGGTATAGGGATGGAAAAAAAACCCGACAAACCCGATACCCGCGGGGCCCCGCCCCGAACAGGGCGAGGAAAACCCGCTTAAACGGGTAACGGGGTGGGATCGGGGAGGAGAATTTTGCCTTAGGGTGGGGACTAGTAACGGGGTGCCCGCCCCGTCCTATTAAAAAAAAATTATTTCTTTTTAATAGCAACTAAAATTATTTGTCCAAATCTAATAATTATGGACAATAAAAATAAATTATCAAAAACTTAAAAAAAAAAAAAATTAAACAGGGGAATAAACGGGGAATGGACATACCCCCACCCCGCCCCGTTGCCATCCCTAATCAGGTATCTTCTGTAGTCAAACATTTACTGAGATCTCTAATACATTATAAATAGCCTAAAGCAAATTAATTCATGTTCTTCACAGGAAGAAGACTAGCTTTAGCTTTTATCCACTTGGCAATATATTCTTAAGCAGACAAAACCTGTCTACTTTTTACCGTTAATATTTATTGCTAACTATTAACGATGTAATGCAATATGTACACGTGTCTTATGGATCTAGTATCTAAAGATTTATATGACCAAAAATAATGATGTCCATTGTGTCAGGCTGCTTATACGGACAAAATGGACAAATTGCCCGAAAAAGTGGACTTGAAAACAATATTCTCATTTTAGAAATTTAACTGTGCCAAATCTCTCTTGCTTTACTATTTTCAATGATTATACTTCGTTTGTTTTGTTTTGTTTTCTAGGGATGATTGCTTTTAATAGGACATGAATTTGTATTGATGGGAGAAAATACTAAGTGAAGATAAAGTGGGAATATGTTTTAAATAATGGAAGCTGAAAGATTTAACCGTGCCAAATGTCTCTTGATTCCCACTTTATCTTCACTTAGTATTTTCCCCCGTCAATACAAAATTCATGTCCTATTAAAAGTGATTATTCCTAGAACACCAAACAAGACTAACAAAGCCTTCATTCTCAATAAACTTAAGAGTCTGTTGCCTGAATCCCTAATCAATAGGCCATTCAATCCGATTCTAAATCTTTCAAATGGCCAAATGAAATCTTTTTTTTTTTTTTTTACAATTAAACCTTGTTAATTATTTCTGTATTGTTGTAAATTATGAAATGCATTTTGTGCCGACCTTTTTTTGCTTCCAGTTGATCATAGAAGTATGCAATAAACTACAAGCGAGAGGACCAAGATCAACAATCTGAGCACCAAAGCAGAAAGAAAGAAAAGCCAAGCCTAGATAAAAGAAGGACCCGATCATAAAACCCTAATTATATGCCGATTAGATCCTCTGAGAAAAGTAATGAAATTTTCCGAAAGTTATCATCAAAACAGTTTAAATTTCAAAGGGTTCATTCTTCCATATTTTTCAATTATTTTTAAATCAAGTTCCTTTATAAATACACGATCCAACAAAAGAACGGGATATTGGAATAAAATTAGCATCAACCAAAAAACACAAAATTGATTGGCATACCATAGCTAACTAGGGTTTGGTCGTCCTTTAAGATCCGACCTTTGTAAATCAAACGCTGTTGTTCAGCTGGAACGTCGCAATTCTGCGCCAGAACAGCCTTGAAATCCCCCACTGTCGATTCGAGGCTCGTCCGTACGGAGAATTTCGAGCCGTTGGAGCATCGGATATTCACATTCACCTGTTCGCCACCACTCACAGTCACGCTTGAATCACCCTCGGCACCCATTGAATCCTTACAATTTAACCAACCGATCTATCTATCTATCTACCTATCTATGAATCAATCAAAAAACCCAAACCCTAGAAATTATTGTGCAATCGCGGTATATATGACTTTTAGAAGGATATAAATAAATTGTATATATTTGTTGAATTGATGACAAATAAATAAATACAAGTAGAGCAACTGCTATGAAATGAAAGGGCCAAAAAGCAATTTTCTTTTATTTAATTAATTAAACGTCAATAAAGTACAGATAAAATTATATTTTGTTTTCAGCCAGATATCAAAATGATGAGAAACCAATGAAATTATGCCACCTCAAGTATCTAACCAGATTTATGTCATTATATATACTTATTGAAGAAGAAATTAGTATTGATTTTCCAAAAAAAAAAAAAAATTACATGCAATTCAATGAACGAACAATTAGTATCCACCACTCATTTCTATCAGGGTGCGTTTGATACACATTAAAATGGAAAGAATGCATTTTTTTGTGATGTGATAATGAATATATGATTGAAAAAGAAGGAAAAATTATTGATGTGATTAAAAATATTATTTTATTAAAAAATGTGTAATTGAAAATAAGTTGAAAAATGAGAATGAAAATTTGGCTCAAACAGGGGCTAAATCTTTTATAAATTCTTTTCAAACGGGAAGGCCTTAATAATTGAGAGCCTGTTTGGTACACATTAAAATGAGAGAATGCATTTTTTTAAAGTGATGTGATGGGGAATATGTGGCTGAAAAAGAAGGAAAAGTTATTAATGTGATGGAAAATATTATTTTATTGAAAAATGTGTGGTTGAAAATAAGTAAAAAAATGAGAATGAAAAAAATAATGTGGCTCAAACAGGGGCTGAATAATGTTGCTCAAAGTGAGGACTATCGGTTGTCGTCCTACGTGCTATGCATGTAACTGTTTATTATTTGATGTATTAGTGTGATAATTTTTTATTGATTCATGCAATAAAGCCTTGTTTGGTGCACATTATGATATCAATCCAAGAATGCATTTTTTTATGTGATAATGAATATATGGTTGAAAAAAAAAGGAAAAATTGTTGATGTGATGGAAAATATTATTTTATTGAAGAATATATGGTTGAAAATGAGTAGAAAAATGAGAATGAAAATGAAAATGAAAATGAGAATGTTGTTCAAATAGGGGCTAAATCTTTTATAAATTCTTTTTAAATGGGAAGGCTTTAATAATTGAATAATGTTGCTCAAATTGAGGACTATCGATTGTCGTCTTACGTGATATACATGTGACAGTTTATGGACAAACCCTTTTTCCCCCAATTTACAATCCACACAAACCTTTATACTCCACCTCTAGTCGGCGCCGATCCTCCATCTCTGGCTAACTGACCATCGACACACCTTCGTCTGGCCACACCTTAAAGCCCACCGCTATAGTTAGTGAAGAGCATATTGCTTAATATTTATTTTTCTACTTTTTAACAATACATTCTCCAAAAAATTACTATTCAAAATATCATTTTTTTCAAAATAATGCCATCAAACAGGGGCAAAAATTCATCATGTATGTGTGAAGCTTACTCCACCAGTATGTGAGATATCAATGAAAAATATAGGAGTGTTCACTTAAGCAATTATAAATGTCAAAATTGAATTAAATAATAATGCAACAATAGACTCAAAGCTCATTTAGTTGCTTCAATAAACTCTTTGTACTCTTTCTTCATTTTGACACCTAATACAGTAATGCATATAGTAACAGTTTACATGTCAGAATCAAAATTATCCAAGTTCATGGAAGTTGACACCAAGAGGTTTTTTCGAGCTCACTAAAATTCGTAAGCATGCTTTGTGATGTATACTTCTTGAACGAATTCGCTTAGGTAATACATTATGATAGGACGAAAAATACAAACACCAAGTTAGGATGTTGGGATGGATCGGGTGGAAAAAGGTTCACGAGAAACATATGTGGAGATAAAGATGTAACTAGGATTGGAGAAGGGCGTGCTTGAATTTTCTCAACAAAACGATCGAGTCTAAGCCAAAATTTAAAGGAATACATAAAAAGGTTAAGATATGAGAGACATACTTTATTGTTTAGCAACGTGTTAATGGGACTCAACCCAAGTTCTCATATCAAAAATCTAAAATGGAATATAATGCTATCAAATGGTTTTTGAAATATTTTGATGATTGAGAAAAACTAAATCGTGATAAATATATTTTTGAGCAAAAATGCAATGTAACCAACCTTAACATTTCCTTGTTCTTGAAAAATTGTACACACGGTGTACCCATGATTCCAGCAACCTCAGCAATATCTGGATCTTCTTCACAGTCTCAATGAAATGCACATTCTGGTCAAATTCTTCTATCACCTAGACACAATTTAGGAGTAGATAACACTTCATGATTTAGTTTTCTAATCCAGTACGGATGGACTGAATAAGTTTTTAATTCTGTTCACAAAAGGGCAAGACAAAATATCATCAATACGTATATATTTTCACTAAAAATATCTTCTGCTATTGGTAGATGAAATTTCAAAAACAGAACATTCAACATGTTATGCATAGAACCTCATAAATATATTTAACCAGCTACATAACTATATTGGAACTAGTATACCCTTCCAAGAATTGGTTTCAAGGTCCTATAAGGACAACATGTTTGCGAAGTATATATTACACACACAAGCCTCAGACTTTTGTTGTACAATTTTCGCAGGGCATACTGAGATGAGTGAAAGATCAAGTTAAAAGGAAAGCGAAACATAATATTTTGTAATATTTAGGGTAGGTTTAATAAAGAATGTATGAAATTTAAACAGAAACATGATATTTTTGCAGCATGAAATGTAAAGCAATGAAGAAGAAGAGTTGATTCATGTTGCATCCGGTGCAAAAGTAAAGATGAGACTAGAAAATGGCTGGTTGTTCTCTTTTTTTATAATATAGTGGCAATTAGTTTCTAGTTACTTTTTTTTCTGTCTTACTCCAGCCGAAGTGTGTTTTGATGAGCTATATAATAGGAGGCAAAGGAATGTACAACATGTTTTGGCCATAAATTAGTTATTTTGATTCTATATATATGTTGCCATTTTCCTTTCAATTCATTTTATTCCAACTTTTCATTCAAAGAAAGGCAAATAGAAATTCAGAGCTTTTCGCTTTCTTCTTCCTGCATTCTGCTATATCATTTTTTCACATGGTATCAGAGCAGGTCTGAGAGCTAATCAACCATCGATGATAGTTCGTCTGAAAATGAATCCAATCCTCAATCACCCACAACCAACATTCTTTCTCGTTTCCTAAATTTCAACGATGTCACCAGCCCTTATAGTTTGGATAATGGTTATAATCCTACTATCACTTTGGCGACTAAACTTTTAACCATAGAAAACTATGTGTCTTGGTCTAGAGCAATGACAAGAACTCTTAGAGCTAAGAACAAACTAGGGTTTATCAATGGAGAATTTCGAAAGCCTACATACCTGAATGATCCTCTTTTTGATGCATAGGAGAGATTCAACGACTTGGTGGTTTCATGGGTTCAAAATTTTGTAACTAGCTCAATCAATTCTTCTTTGATATTTGTGCATGATGCTCGAGAGATGTGGACGAAGCCGCACAATAGGTATACACAACAACATAGACCTATAATTTTCCAATTAAAGAAGGCCTTGGCTAGTTTGGTTCAGGAACACGATTGTGTGAGTCTTTTATTATGGAAAACTCAAATGCTTGTAGAATGAACTCTCTGTGTATGATCTTATTGCTGACCATGAATGTGGAAAATTGAAGACTCTATTTGATAGGTATCAAATAGAATGCGTCATTCAATTTTTAAGAGGATTAAGTGAGACTTACAGCAATGTAAGGGATCAGATCATGTTGTTCGATCCATTCCTACTATAAATAAAGTGTTTTCTCTTATTCAACAATAAGAAAGACAATACCAAATGACTTGTAGTAGCCATACATCTGAATCCATGGCTCTTGCTACTTAAAAATTCTCTTTCAATCCCAAACCCAACACTAAGTTAACTCCAAGTTACAATAAAACTAGTCTTTATTGTTCTAGTTGTAAGGCCCCGGACACTCTTGAAAATTGTTTTGAGGCAAGCATTGCAGAACTACCCATTTGCACTCACTGCAATATGATTGGCCATGTTGTTTGGAAATGTTATAAACTTCATGGCTATATCCGCCTAGCCACAAGTTGTATAATAAAGCTAAGACAAGTCCTTTTGCAAATGTTGTAAGCAATGACCAAGAAGATGACAATGATGATAAAGTTGTCCTAACTAAAAGTCAGTGTCAATAGTTCCTTGAATTATTGTAGCAAAAAGAAGCTACATCCATCATGTACTCAGTGAACCAGGCTCAAGCAGTATTTAAACCAGCAAACACTCATCCAAATGCATCGAAGATGTCTGTTATATCTTATTGCCTATTCATCTATACAAAACCTTATAACTTTATTGATGTGTCTTGCATAATTGATACAGGTACAACAGATTACATGATTTCTTACACATCCTTTTTCACCCCAATAACGGCTCAAGTTTCTTACACAATTGAACTCCATAATTATAATGAAGTTCCAGTAACACATGTTGGTATGGTCACATTGCTGAGACTTTGTTACTCAAAGATGTTTTATATGTAACTTCATTTTCTTTAAACTTATTGTTAGCAAGAAAATTAACAGAAACACTCACATGCTGCCTTGTTTGTTTTTCTGACTTTTGTTTCATACGGGACCTTGTCACTTAGACAAAGATTGGATTGGGAGAAGTTAGAAATGACCTCTATCCCCTTGTGGACAGTGTGGTTTCTCCTTCAAGCCTAAGAATTAAATTAGCCATGTTCATAAATAGAGACTCCTTTGTTTCTATTGCTATTATTAGCAATGTTCATTAAGCTAATCTTTAGCATTGTCGTTTATGACATATTTCTTATTCAACACTTGAGCATATTGATGATCATATTGTAAAAGATAATGATATC